CGTCCATTTCCTCATTATGCGGAACTACAGGAAGGACAAAAATACCCGAAATAAATAAATAATTTAAAAAGATAAATCAAATAGTTGAACTTTAGAAAATTATATAATATCTGAAATATACTGTACATACCATGAACTTTTTTCTTATGTCGTGACAAGTTAGACTTGCCACTWAAAGTCAAATTACACATCGAGCAAGGGAAACGAGTTCCAATATGCGTTTTTTCGTGTCTAGTCAAATTATACTTATAGTCGAAAGACGAAGAACACTTTCCACATTTAAACATTTTGTATTTGATAAAATAAAGTATGGAAAAAATAAAGCAAGAATATATTTGATAAAATAAAAATATAAAACACTTTGAAAAAATCACAGAGTTTAAGACGAAAACGTAGAGAGGACAAAATATATTATAAGGCTAGAAGACTATAGCACACTAACCGAACTCTAGCACTTGACAGAACAAGGTACCGAGCACCCATAGAGTCGACATATSGCGTTCCGCTATAACAATAGCGTGAGGACAAGAGAAACATTAKATTTCAAACCATGAATATTGGGAGGTCACTCGGAGAAGCCTTGCAAAAATAGATGCTAACATACCAAGAAATTCGAGCATAATATGTTACTGATAGAAATACTTCTATCTCCCAAGCTAACGATATATTTATTAATATTAATAAAACATTGGTAATATTCGAGTATGTAAAAAAAAAAATATTCACATATTATTTAATATTTGCTATTATCATTTCATTTATTTCATCATAATCACTTCCTCATGCTTCGTTAACGTCCACATGTGTTTGCATTTATTCATCATTTCCATCATCCCCTCACTCCATAGTTTCTGAYTGATCATCTCAGGAACACTCCGTATTGTTTAAAWTTTCGCCAACAMTTAAAATGATATGTTCAGAGGACATCCGGTGACGAGGTAGTTGTAGAAAACTAGGAGAAAAAGATAACTCTGAGAGGGGGGGAACGGGAAACAGATCATTTCTTATCGTAAGTAGGATTGGACTTGGAGTGGTCGGGGAGAACATATTAGGGGAAATAMCGGCGGGGTTCGGATAGCCGTGCGGATGAACTCGCTGTGGAGGATAGGGAGTGGGAGTTGTAGAAAATAGCTGCAGTGGCAATAGYCGTGGAGGAGAGGGAGTAGGAGTTGTAGGAAAGAGCTGCAGTGGCAATAATGGTCGTCGCATAGTCGGTGTTGAGGGTGAGGGTATAACAGGTGAAGCGTGAAAAATATG